ATACTGCCTGAATGTCCAAAGGAGCAGGAACACAGGTAACAAATAACTTCCTCATTAATCATTAATTGCTATTGGAGAGTCTCTGTGTATGTCTTTGGTTGGGTTTCTTTTGGAGTAGACCCTGGGATAGAGACTTGAGGGCAAGTAATTTTATTTGGGGGGTGATCCTAGGACACACTGGTCCAAGTAGGGGAATTAAGGTGGAGAAGGAAGGAAACCAGTATAAGCTGTACCACTGAGCAAGTCACTGCGGTTGGCATCTGGGGCTCACCTAGGCTGAGAACCTCAGAGCTTTGTCCTCCTCTAAGGGGTGAGAGACCTGGGGCTATTTATCTTCCAACCCCACCCATCCTTGGGTGTTCCTGGAGGCCTTCCCTCTCCAGCAATTCCAGCATTCCCCCCGCCCTGGGAGAAAAGTCCATACGTGGAGGGTCACTGGGGTGTGTGGTCAGATGCTGCGGGTGTGAGCTGGAAGTTGTGTGCCAGAGGGGAGATGGTGGGGCATTCACCACACCTGAGTCATGCATCATAAGAGCCTTTAACCGACACTGGGGTGTGAGCTAAACCCTTCCTGAAGAAGTAATTTCTGAGACCAAATAAAAAACCAGTAGACTTTCGAGTGTCCCAGTTAAAGGGGGCAGCCTGTGTGAAGGCCCAGGGGAAGGAAAGAATTTTGTGTGTTCAAGACCCTGGTAGGTGAGGCTGGTGAGGCAACTGGGGCCTCAGGCCTGCAGAGTTGCACGGATCCAGATCTCTCTAATTTAAAAAAAAAATGCCTCCTATATGCTGCATGATCAGGCTTTAAAACAACAAAGAGAAAAAATTCATTCAGCTAATGCATGAATCATATTTGGTTGAAATCTCAATTTAAGCGAAAGTGACTTTTATTTTAAACTATTTTTGTGACTTATTTTTAAAATGTTTTTGTATCAAATGTCTATTCCTTTTATTAAAAGAAGCAAAAAACCTTTTACTGTAGTCTACCAATTATATAATAAAGATGTTTCTAAACCTCTAAAAAAAAAAATGCCTCCTTTCCCATGATGCCTGGTGCTTCATAATGAGAGAGGGGTAACCATTCTTCCTGATGTTCTGACGTTCTCCCTCCTTCTCTTTTAAAATATTTCCTCCTTACATTCTTAAAGTGCACTCCCCCCTACCCTGTCTCAATGTCCTCTCCCCATGTTTTAATAGTAACTGTTGGTCTGCCTCTGCATAAGTTCCAAAGTGCTTTTTACATCAATCATCAGCACACGCTCATCCCATCCTCTCAGAGTGCCCGTTCTGGGACTGATAGGTATGAGCACCCCCATTTTACAGCTAAGGAAACTGAGGCTCAGAGAAAGAAGGCGACTTCTCTGGGCTCCTCAGAGCCTGTCAGACGCTGATTTAAGACTAAAAACCAGCCTCTGGAACCCCTACCTGACATTGTCCTCCAGCACGCCAGGACCCAGCATGGGGCCAGTGTGGGTTTAATTCTCAATGCTGTGGCTTGTTTGGATTCTGCCTCGGGAGCCTTCCAATTTTATCATGCCTTTTCAGTTGACTGGCTGAGTAATGATATTGTCCAATGTTTGATGTATTTCCATATTTATTGAAAAACATTACTGTCTGTTTTCTTCAAGAGTGGCTGAGCATAATTAGGTAGATTATATTAAAATCCTCAGGGGAGGGGAAAAACAGAATGTTCAAAACCAACAAGGTTATCTTTGCAGAGGGGACTGGGAGAAGTCCTCCTTATGTAGGTGAGGGAAGCGCACCTGAGGCAGGCACACAGGCTGGGTGTAGGGGCATCTGCCTTTTTGGTCTCCCTTCAGCCCTCCTCCCGGTTCTGGTGATAGCACCTTGGTGTTCCTTTGGGGAGCCAGCTGGGTTTGCCAGATAAAATACAGGACACTCAGTTAAGTTTGAACTTCAGATTAGATATCAACAACAAAATAATTTTTTTGTATAAGTATATTCCAAGTATTGCATGGGACATACTTATACTATAAATCCATTCACGGCTTATCTGAAATTCACATTTGACTGGGTGTCCTGTGTTTTTTATTTGCTACATTTGTTAGCCATGACACCTCTTAGTTCAAATGTTGGAGTGGGATGGATCCATCCTACGTGGGCTCCAGGAGCGGGCAGGTGATCTAGACTTGGACAGCCAGTGCATTTTATCCCTCCCACCCACAGAGATTGGTCAGAGCTGGGGATATCAGCTTCAATTTTGGAAATCTGGCTTGCACCACTGAAAAAGAGATTCTTTTTGGCGGAGTTGCTAATCTGTGAAAGGCAGCCCCTGGGGTCCAACAAATGAGAGTCTGGGTAAGAATGAAGATGAGAGAAAGAAAAACAGCCAAGAGAAAGGAGAGATTTAACTTTAAAGACATCCTTGGGTGGCCTGGGACCAGCCTCATTGAATTTCACCTTCGTCTTGGCTCCCTAGTGCTGATGGAACAGTTGAGTGCTGTTTTGATGATGTTGCAAGCAAGAACAAGTGTACATCAGTAAGAAAAGAAGACAGTGGGATGGAGTTGAAAGCAAAGCCTTCAGTGGTGATGGTTATGGAAAAGATCAATCCTAATCATGGCCGTGGTGGAAAGAGTGATGGAATGGAATGGCGTGCACAGTCAAGGGGAGAATAAGTTCTTGCTGGCGATAGTTCTGTTCAGGGTGCCAATGCGGCTGATAATGAAGGCGAGGTTGCCAATGATGATTAAGATGGTGTTGGTAAGGAGAAGAAGGTAACAAGGAAAAGAATAATTCTCAACCCCAGTCGATCACCAAGTCCTATCAATTCTACTTTCCTCAATTTTATTTTTTTTTTAAATTTTGTTTATTTGAGAGAGAGTGAAAGTGAGAGAGATCACAGAGGGAGAGGGAGAAGCAGATTCGCCACTGAGCAGAGAGCCCAATGTGGGGCTCGATCCCAGGACCCTGAGATCATGACCTGAGCCAAAGGCAGATGCTTAACCGACTGAGCCACCCAGGTGCCCCCTACCCTCCTCAGTTTTAAAAGTTATCTACTCCACTGTCTGTGCACTGCTGTCACCATCCTAGCCCAAGCCACTAGCAGCTTGTGCTGTTTCTACTGCTAACTGACCTCCTTGTTGGCCTTCCGGCCTCCTGATAGTCTATGCTCCATGCTAAAGCCAGTACGGAGAGTGAAATTTTAAAAAATGCAAAAATGTAAAAAAATGTAAAGTTTCACTTCTCTGCTCAAACCCATTCAGTGGCTTCAACTAGAATCCAAACGCTTAACATGACCTCAAGACCAGCATGACCTGGCCCCTACCTGTACTGCAATCTCATTTCCCTCTACTTGCTCCTCTCTCACTATGTTCTAGCTTGATTACTCTTCTTTTGTTTTTTTTTCCTAGAATGTACCAAACCTTTCATATAAGTCATCCCCTAGGCATGAAATGACTTTTCATCCTTTGTGTCTCAGCATCCATGTCACTTCCTAGATTCCAAATCCAAACAACCTCCCCCTGTTACTTTCTCTCATGGCACCCTGCCCTAAAGACACTTTGTTTAATGGTTTTCTCACCATTTAATCAATTTTTGAATCTTGGCACCATGTTTCTTTAAGAATGTGTCACAGGAGTGCTGCAGCTCCTAAGGCGAGTCATCTCCAGCATCTAGAATCCTCCTCCATGGACCCCTGTGTGCCATACAAACGTGACTGTTTTCTCTCTGGGTCCTGCTTTGAGAAGGCTGAGAAGTCTACACTATGCACTTCTTAATGGCAGGGGCTGTGTTTGGGTTGCTCATGCTTATATTCTCAACACAAGCTCTAGTGTCTGGTACATAGTAGGCACTCAAGAAGTATTTCTTGAAAGAATGAAAGGTTTTATCGTGGTGAAGAAGGTGGTGGAATTGATAAAGATGATGGTGATGATGATGGTAATGGTGAGGGTGGTGGTGATGATGGTGACAATGGTGATGATGGTGATGATGATGGTAATGGTGATGGTAATGGTGAGGGTGGTGGTGATGATGGTGTCAATGGTGATGATGATGGTGATGATGGTGATAGTGGTGATGATGATGGTGGTGGTGATGGTGGTGATGATGGTAGTGATGATGATGGTAATGGTGAGGGTGGTGGTGATGATGATTATGGAGGTGATGATGATGGTGATGGTGGTGATGGTGATGATGATGGTGATGGTGGTGATGGTGGTGGTGGCAGTGATTGAGGTGGTAAAGGGATAGACTCAGAGGACTTGGCTTAGCCCATTGCTTTAAAGAACTTTTATTAAAAATTGGATCTGCCTTTTGCCTCTGTAGTCAACCTAGAAATATCAACTGAAGGTGGATTTTGGAGGAAGGATAATTGCAGCTGGAGGAAGAGGGTATTGAAGACTAAACTCCCCGGGTGGGACTGTCAGGCTGGTGAGGCCCCACTGTCTTACTTCCCCAGTTTGCGGGGAGGCCGCGTTCCTGCAGCAGAGCACCCAGAACTCCAGCACCTGTCTGGGCACTCGGCTCGCTTCAAGCAGGAGCGGGAGCCTTAGGAAGGACGGGTGAGGGAAGGCTCCGGGCACACGGGGCTGGAAGGGGGGAATCTAGGTGGTGGTGTGGAAGAGAGCAAGGAGGGCTGGAGCGGAAAGGGAGAGGCAGGGCAGGCTGGGTCACGGGGTGCGGGATGGTTTGGGGACAGTGGGGAAGTGATCCGAGCGATAAGAGTCTGGGCGGCAGGTGGGAGGTGGGAATGGACGGCTGAGGTGGCGTTCAGGCTGGGGTGGGGTCCAAAGGCTCGGATGGGGGTGTGAAGGCGGAGGTGGAAGTCTGAGATCGCAGGTACGGGGCCTGCGAGTGGCGGTGGCATCGGAGGGCTGGGAGCGGTTTGGGACGAGCGCGCGCAGGGCACAGGTGAGGGGCTGAGGGCGGAGCCAGGGCGGGAGGGAGGGCTCGAGGACCGAAGGCCCGCGCAGCTCCCAGTCCGGAGACTCCGGAGGAGGAGCTGGGAGCCGCGGGCGGCGGGCGGCGGGCCGGGCTGCGCCATGCGGGTGCACCTGGGCATGCTGGCGGGCGCGGCGGCGCTGACCGGGGCGCTCAGCTTTGTGCTCCTGGCGGCCGCCATCGGCACGGACTTCTGGTACATCATTGACACCGAGCGGCTGGAGCGGGGCGGCCCGGGGGCGCGGGGCCGGGCAGGGGCCGCCAACCTCAGCGAGCTCGAACCTCTGAGCTCGCACTCTGGCCTCTGGCGCACCTGCCGGGGTAAGGGGGAGCGCGGGGATGCTGCGCGGTGCCGCGCCCGCCCGGGACCTGTTGCTGGGCTCGCAGTCCTCCCCCGAGCCCCAAAGCACAAAACGCGGGGTCTGGGCCCGGGCCGGGTGGGTGGAGGGCTCCGGAGCGGGGTGAGCTCCAGGCGCAGCTGCTCTGGTCTCCGCACCATCCTCCCTCCCGGGATGGCGTCTAGGGTGGGCGTGGGGGCGAGGCCGAGGGCTGGGGTTCCAACGCCAGGTCCGCAGCCACAGATTCTTCCGCCCCATCCAGTCCAGAGCCCGTGCGTGCCGCTGATGAACCCCTTCTGGCAGGAGAACGTGACCGTCAGCGACTCAAGCCGACAACTTCTCAGTGAGTCCGGGAGGGAGGGGATCGGGGGGAGAATCCCGGGTCTGGACACCAGTTTTGGAGCTCTTCTTCAGAGTGGGGCGGGAGCCCTGCGGAGTGGGTGGCCAGGACCGAAGAAGGAAGTGGAGTTAGGAGCAGGGGCCGGGCCTCTCTTGCGCCACAGGTTACACTGTGTGGTTCAGGATTCATTCCACAACGGTTGATAGCAGGGTTCCTCTGCACCAGGCACCGGGCTGATGATTAAGACCCAGGTCCTGCCGTCCAGGAGCTCACAGACTAGCTGCGGAGACGGATGTGGAAATGCGCAGTCACATTTCAGAGTGACAAGCAGCATGAGGGAGGGAGGGTGGGTGGAGTCCGAAGAGACACCTAAACCAGCCTGAGGAGCTGAATGCTGAAGAGAGGTCTGAGCCCATAGACCCCAAGGCACACCCCATGTCAGCCTTATTTGTATCGTCAGGGCTGAGAACAAGCGCTTGGCAGTAGCGGGGATGCAGTGAATATCTGTGGAATGATTCGAGAAAGGCGATCAGGAGCAGAGAGCAGCCCCCTCCCCCTGGGGCCACTGCGTCTGTCCTGTTCAGGGCTGATTTCCCAGTGCCTAGCACAGTGCTTGGAACTCAGTAACACTGGGAAGACTGAATGCAGGGAAGCGAATGGGCTGAAACAGACACTTGAGAAAGGAGGGACCTAAACATAATAGTTCAGCGAGTTCATTGAGGCTGGCAGTGGGCCAGGCGTGGAGCTGAATGCTTTCCATCTATGTCTTCAGTTAATCTCCACTGCTACCCTGTGGAGTTAAGTATCATCTCCATTATTACCTTCATTTTTCCTGCGAAGAAACTGAGGCTCAGAGAGGTACCGTAGAATCTGATGAGGAAGGGAGGGCTGAGTTTCACAGACCTTAAAAAATGTGGGTTGCTTTTAATGGACTTGTTGAGGCTTGGGAACAAAGACCAAGTCGCTAGCATGGCCCACAAGGGCTGCCACGATGCCTCTCCAGGTCCGATCTCCCCTTGCTCTTTCTTCTTTGGCTGTGCTGGCCTGGGGCTACTTCCTGAACCATGCCCAATTTCCTCCTGCCACTGGGACTTTGCATATGCCATTTCCTCTGCCTGAAGTCTCCTTGCTCCCATCCTGCTAGCTTGACTCGGTCAACTTCTACTCATAGCATAGATTTTGTGGCATTTTTTGAGTTAAAGTCTGACTCCCTCATTAGACCATGAGTTCCATGAGGATGGGGACCATGCCTGTCTTGCCATGGCTTGATGCCCAATATTTAGCACAGAACCTGGTGTGGGGTGGGATCACGAGCCCAGATTTGCTGACCCAGGTACGAGAGTGAGTATAAATTGTATTATGTTAGAAGTGGAACCTATTTTTTAAATGAATGAATGAGAAAATGAGTGGAACAGAAGTCCAGTGGTGTGCTGGGAAATAGTTAATAACTGTCTTTCTGGGGGAAGAGGGAGTCTTGATTTGAAGCATTTGCTGATTTCTTTGGTGTAAATATTCCCACTGGGGTCAACTTCAAGCTATCAACATGATGTCAGGTGGCTCCCCAAATTCCTAAAAACTTAGCAGTTGGCTCTCACAAGCTGATACAATCCAGCTGCTACACCCTGCATAAGGTCCCAGGGAAGGAGATGTTCCCTTGACATGTGTGGGAAGTTGAGGGAAGGTAGAGGTGCCATGAGCTCTTTCCTCAGCCCCAAGCTAACCAGAATCCATTTAGGGTGTTCTCAGAGCATTGTTTCAAGAATGATCAAGAGTTCCTGCCCTTGATGTGAGGGAGATGGGTGTCAGATGCCAGCTTGGACCCTTCCCAGGACCCTCTGGGATCGTGGGACAGGTGTCTTAACCTCTGAGACTCAGTTTCCACATCTATCAAAATTAAATGTCAAAACCATGAGGGGGGTGTGGTCAGAATTCCATAAACCAGCTAGCTGAAAAAAGTGACCTTACCTGGGACCTCACATGATGCCTGGTTGTTGTGGGATCTCTGTGTTGCATGAAAGTGGCTGGACCCATAGTAAGTGCTCAATAAACACTAGTCTTTGCTATTCCTTCCAGCCTCTTTTAGATGCAATCCCATCTCTGGAGCACTGACCCTTTGCTGGGCTGGGTGCTGGCATTTAGCCTACTTATCACATCTGTGGGTAAACTGGATGACTAATTATAGTTGGCATTGGTCTGGCTTCTTTGTGAAACTTAATAATGCCAACAATCCTGTGTGCTCCAGGATTTTGAGAAATGGGCAAAATTCACATCCAGAGTCTGTTCATCTGTTCACTCTCAGACCCAGGTCTAAGCCCCAGCTTCACCGCCGAGGAGGCGTGCAGTCTTGGGTGCATTCTTCTATCTCTCCAAGCATCGGTTCCCTCATGGGCAAAGGGAGGATATCTGTCACCTGTCTTCATAAGGATATGGCCAGGATGGAATGGGAGAGTGTATTTAAAGAGCCTCAGTGATGGCTGGCCTCTGTAAGTGCGCCTTGAATGGGAGAGCTATTATTACCATTATATCATCCAAGAAAGAGCAGGCTGCCCCTTCAGACCACATGCTCGCTGCACACCACCCCCAGAGGGAGACTTTTCTCAGAATCTCTTTATCCGCAGAATGAGTTTTGAATCTTGTCCAAGCTCTTTTGTTATGTGGAGGCGTCTTATTCCTTTGAGGACCTGCTGCTGGGGTCACAGAAGAGAGAGGGCAGTTGTCAAAGCAGCGTGTTCTCTGAGCCAGCCTCCTAGACAAACCCCAGTGGGGGTGTATAGGGAAGAACTCTTGATTGTTCCAGCAAGAAACCCCAAGCAGGCACCACTCCAGCGCCCAATAAAAACCCACCTTGCTTGGATGTTTTGTCTTCCAGATTAGCTCTGGGGATGTCATGGGTTTGCTTCCTTGGCCAGGGACTGGAATTACTTTTGGCGGAGGTGGCGGGGATCATCAAATTCAGCACCATGTTGAAAAAAAGAGCCCCAGTTTGGAGACATCCAGGCTAGCTGTATCAACCAGGAGTCTTTTGGTGAAACACAAATCATCCTTATTTAAACAAGGAAAGGAATTCCCGGTCCATGTAACCGAAAAGTGTGCTGGGATCCAGAGAATTAAACGCAATTTCTTTCTTTTCCTCTCCGGGCTTTGCCTCTGTTTGGGTCCTGCTTTCAATAAACCCTCTCCAGTCTTCACAACCCAAGCAGAAGGAGGCTCTCTACTTGCCAAAAGTCTGTAAAAATTCTAAGTAGGCTTCTCATGGGACCAGACTGGATCACATGCCCAGGGCTGAGCCAATCCTTGTGGCCGACGGATGGAATGTGCTGATTGGCTGGGATGAGCTGTGCCATTTGTAACAAGGGGAAGGAGTAGGACCAGTCCCATCATAGATAAGGGCCCCACATCTTACCAGTGGGTGTGGCTTCTGGCCTGTCCCCTGCTTCCATTAACTTCCATTAACAGGCTGCTCTGAGATGAAATGAGATCACATAAGCAAAGCACCTAGCATAGATGCATGGTACATAGTAGGAGCTCAATTAATGTCTCCTCCTGCTCTAAGTCCCATTGCCTCCCTGAGCCTCAGGCTTCTCATCTGTAAAATGGAGCTAATCATGAGAGACTCATTTACTTCATTTGTACATATGTATTTCACTCCTAGCACTGGGCTAGATGGAGGGCATAGAACATGACGAGATAGGTGTGGTCCTTGCCCACACAGAGCTTGAGTCCAGTGCAGCAGGCAGATAGTAAACACATGGACCAGTGAATAAATAAACGTAAACTTGTTTCAAATAGCAGTAGGTGTAGCAGAGGGAATGAAACAGGGTCACGTGAGGAAGGGTGGTGGAGGCACTTGTCAATGGTGTGGTTGAAGGGCAATAAAAGGAGCAGCTGATGTTTACAGGACAGTCACTGCGTGCCACATACTGTCCTGAGTGCTTTGCATCTATCAGCTCTCTTCGTCTTCATGACAACCTAATGAGGCAGGAGCTGTTATCATCCTTACTTTCCAAATGAGGAAACCGAAGCACAGAGAGGTTAATAAGTTATCAAAGTTTGCACAGTAACAGGTAGATCTGGGATCTGAATCCAGGTGGTTCCTCCCCTGTGGGAATGATGCGACACAGAGTAGAATTCCAGTGTAATGTGGGTGTGCTAAGACTGAGGCCATGGCAGGCCAGAAGACAGGCTCCTCGCCTGTTTCCTGGGTTCCCAGTCCCCCATCCTACACTGCCTCTTCCATCTGGGAATCAGAGATCTGAATTACAAGGAAGAAGGGCAGAAGCAGAGCTGAGCGGTAGGATTGAGGGCGGGATGTTCCAGAGACAGCTAGAAGGCTGGTGTTTCTGGAGGCAGCACAGAAAATGCTTCTTACCCACACCTTGGGTCCTCCCTATGCCTTACTTCGGCTGTGTCTCCTAAGAGCCAGGAAGGTAGTCAGGCTGCTCATCCTACAGCTAAGCACACCAGACCTAGAGAGGTCAAATGCCTAGCCCAACATAGCACAGCAGTGGCAGGAGGCCACTGTAACTGAGGGCCAGAGGCCTGGCCTGCATGTCTTCTGAGGAGGTGGAGGTTGGAAAATCACAAGATTGGGTCTCTGGTCTCTCTGGGTACCCGGCTGTTGCAGTGGCATGGAAAATTAAAACCAGCCCTCCCACAATGCCTGTTGCCGATTGCAAGAGAGGAGATGATGGGGAGAGAAATAAAGGGGTCGGGGACATAATGGGATTCAGAGGCGGCCTGAATCCAGGAGGGAATGCTCAGTGTGATTCATGCATAGCTGTGCGGTAGGTGGGAAGGGAAGTGGGGGGGCGCCGGGGGTCTCAGCATCCCTGGGCACGAAGGCCTGGGCTTTCGGCTGCCTCTCAGGTGCTTGTTGAAAGTCAAGTACACACTTTAAACAAAAAAGAAACAGAAAATTCATATTCAGTGTAATTCCACTGCTTGGGATCTACCCTGTGAGGTTTCTAAGAGGCTCACCTTAACCATTTTTGTAACTGTGGAGA